GAGAGAAACTCCCTAGCGCCTAAACGGTAAAAGATAGAGCAAAACGGACGAAATTTTCGCCCGTAAGACTCTACTTTGACGAGTTACCCCTTGGGAGCTCATAAAAAAAATATTTTTTTCTGACTTTTTTGACCTACCCCTTTTTCTTTAATACCCCTTTTCAGCCCCTTAGGGGTGATTGCCAGGATTTGCCGTAGGCGTTTCGTTTTCTAGGAGGGAACCTTAAGATACCCTGAAAATTTGAACTCTCTAGCACATCTCCTTCTAGTGGAACAGACAGACAGACAGACAGACAGACAGACAGACACACAGACAGACAGACAGACACGAGGTCGTTTGCATAAGCCCGCTGGCTAGCTTTTTCAAAGCAGAAGGGCGGGCTAAAAACTGATTTTTGTAACATGGAATAGAGATATGATACTGAAAACTCTACGATAATTTTTAAGTTACACATACATGATTCAGACGAACTGTATTTAAAACCCAGATCTGGGCGCAGCCTAAATTAAGAGGAACTACAAATGTTCCGTCAGAGAAAACTTTCACCACATTTCGCTCCATGTACCTGAGCATACGCCAAAAGAAAAAAAGGATAGCTCTTGTTCTCTGGGCTGTCTGGCCCACAACAGCAGCAAAAAGGTTGTCAGCACTACTAAGCGTTTCTGTGATATCTGCAAACTGTGGGTTTTGTAGGATAGTGCCCAAATCGGTAAGAGAATGTGGAAGATTTGGCCTGCCCTCCATTCGAGCAGCTTGCATGGCTGGTCGTATCGTCACAAACGGCACAGCCCCAGCTGCTTCATCAGGAATTCTGAAAAAAAAAAAACACAAGAATATGAATTATGTGAACACGGGAAAGTAAGCAAGAACAGGGGTGTTCAGACTCAAACAGGCCCAAGCCAAGAGACATATCTAAGCAGGTACCTCAGTGTCCTCCTCTCCTCATGGTAAATGTCAATAAAGTTGGCGGGGTCGCCTCCTCGACACCTGCCCAGAATTCCCCGTCTGAACCGCCGCTCATGGATAACAAAAAGATCTGGTGGGTGGATGTGACGTGTACTTCTGCGAAAGTCGCCATCTGGAGAATTGGGGTCGATGCTTGCCGATCCATTGCAGTGCAGTACGTCGTGTCGTATGCAACGCATATACAACCTCCCACCTTTCATTAACTTGTTGGCATGGTAAGAATACCCATCTGGGCCATGGATTAGGCTGGTTCCACGACGCATCCCACCCTGCACTTGTAGTGCCATGTTGACGAAACACGCACACAAGCCCAAATGCCAAAATGATCAAAGTGCTCTCACAATGCCGCGTTCTTCTCAACATGATCCATCCAAAACTTGTTTTGAAACTTTTGTATGACAAGTTTTTGTGACCATCGACAGTGTTTTCATGAAGCACGGCAACATTGAATAGGATTGTGGCAACCTATCAAATGTACATCATAACTTTAAAGATCAAATATTTACTGGGAAAATGTGAAATAAAGTAGCTCTAAGCCCTATTTAATTTCGTTGTTCGACATAATTAAAAGCACTTTATCTTACCTCCTGTAGATTTTTGGTTTATGCCTTTTTTTTTCTTATGGGTTGTCACTAAAATTGCACTGTCTTGAGTACGTTCAGCACATCCTCTATTTCCGTTTCCGCCTCACATTTCACAGCGTCGCATCGTCGAGTCTTGATCTGCTAGTGCAAGTCCGAGTTGTCCGCGTGATAGACTAAATTTTCTACCAAAAAGTAAGTAAAACCGTGCTCTGCTGTCAGATATCTTGGTCCCGGTTAGTTTCCAGGCGTTTTCGACAACAGACCGACAAAAATTAATCTCTTAAAGGGACAATGGGTATTGGTGGCACAAGAGCGTCAAATGCAGCACCTCCAAAATCATATTTTATATCTCATAGCAGCAAGATATGACTGTTTCATCGATTCAATATCGACGCCGCCAAAAGTAGATAACTTCGAAATGAAATTGGAAAATTATGGCGTTGATAGTATTTTTCTCTCACAACAAACCCTGTCTGCCCTTGGCACGACGCCATTTTTTGAAATCGAGGGGGAGGTGGGCCTACGACGCCGAGAAAATCTTTGTGTCTGACCAAATACATACGTGTACATATTTATCTTTATTTCGTTTCGGTCAGCCCTAGTTCATTAATTTCTTTAGCTTCGCCCGCGCCCATTTCCGTCATTGGATTGTAGCCCCACACCCCCCACACCCCTTGCCCCCGGCTACAAGAGGTGTTCACAGGCTTTAAGAGACCTGTTAAGATCATTTACAGACGCTTCACAGAAAGAAGATGGCTGAAATTTACCCTAGAGATTGCTCTTCCGTCTTTCTTGGTGTCTCGTTTGTTGTTATTTTTAAAGGGACTGTCCCATCTGTTCCAGCCATGTTCTCTGCTAACATGAATCCGGCCGAAGTGCAAGCTTTGATGGGCCTGCAGGCCCAACAGCAAGATGGGGTGATTCCATCAACTCTCCAAGTAAGTTCGGTAAAGAGGCAATCCCATTTCTGTCACACAATGTTTACCCTATCAGTGTCATTATTTTCATATATCTCATTTAATTTCTGCCTTGAAAGTACTATCTTCATTACAAACTTTCCTCTTTTACCAGATGTTAAATTCTATGCAGTTGACGAATGGAATGCCTGCAATGTTACCGGCAAGTACAGGACATCTTTTCTTCATTGAAGTTAAATTTATACTCTAATTACCCTGCGAGAAGCATTCCTTGTTTGGTCAGAATTTCTGAAAATCTAGAAATTTTGAAGTAGTGTTTTTACTGGGGCCTTTTGTGTAGCCATCATTCATTTTGATAAATCATACTGGTAGCTTTGATGGTTTTCATGTCACTAAATTAACTTTAATCTGTTTTATTTTCTATCTCATGTATCTATTCTCTTTTCACTTTTCTGTATTATTTATTGTCCGTTTCAGTAACTACCCAAAGTAAGTGATCTTTTTTTCCTTCTAGATAAATACTGGATTTCCAGTAGGGTGGAGTGAAAATCTGGGACCGAAAAAGTACACCTGGATTATAGTACTCCAAGATATCCTAAGACTAGCGGCAGAGTCCATTTTGACCCATCGGCTGACCTTCAACCCCTCTCGAGGGGTCAAAGTTAGGTCTTTGAGGGAAATTGACACCTTTTGCTCCGCTGGGCCCCCCCCCTAGGCATAATCCCGCAAACGGCTATATGCGGTTCGGTGCGGAACTTATATAGGAAGATACACCAGGAGTCGATACGCTGTGCGATAACATCTCCAGCTCGCCCCAGAGACATTTATGGTGAAAACGGGAGTTTTTTCGATGCGAAAAACGACGTTTTTCGGTTATATCTCGGAAAATAATGGTCTCAGCGAAAAGAGTCCAGAATGAAACCGCTTTGTCTCGTCAAAACGCATCTAGAGATGTATGGGACGACCGGATGTGGCGTACGAAAACCGGGAGTGCTAGCAATACCTTGGTAAGGAAATCACCATTTTTCACCTTTAATGTGTCTGTGGCGAGCTGAAGATGTTATCGCACAGCGTATCGACACCTGGTGTATCTTCCCATATAAGTTCCGCACCGAACCGCATATAGCCGTTTCCGGGATTATGCCTAGGGGGGGCCCAGGGGGGCAAAAAGTGTCAATTACCCTCAAAGACCTAACTTTGACCCCTCGAGAGGGGTTGAAGGTCAACCGATGGGTCAAAATGGACTCTGCCGCTAGTCTTAGGATAGCTTGAAGTACTATAATCCAGGTGTACTTTTTCGGGCCCAGATTTTCACTCCACCCTAATTTCCAGCCTTTGGCTTAAATGGATTAAATGGATGGGCATCAAATGCGATGCAGACTCAGGCCCTGGGAATGCACTTGCAAGCACAAGTGATGCAGCAACAAGTGATCCACCAAGCACAAGTGATCCACCAAGCACAAGCAATGCACCAAGCACAAGCAATGCAGCAAGCACAAGCAGCGTTGCAGCAAGTGCAAGCAATGCAGCACCAAGAAGTGTTCCCAACTCAGGTAAGTGTTTTGAAAATATGTATATGGAGTATTAACATAAGCAAACAATCTATTGCAGTGCTGTCCGTTCTGCTAATTACTAATAAATTTGGCACCACATTTTCATTGGTTTTCCTTTCTCATAGCAAAACCACCTCACCTCCCAGCAGTCCCAGGTCATGTTTGGGAACAAGGAGTCGTCAGCAGTGACATCCACCATTCCAAGGGCTGCTTCTACTTCCACAATGCATCATTCTGAGGTGACGTCATTCCATTGGTTTATTTATTTTTGTTACAGATGTGTGTAGACTGTTTAGTTTTTTTTTAAATTCGCGAACTTTGTTGTACTTGTAGGGTCCAACTCCATTTCAATCTGATTTTTTTTCTAAGTCTGCAACGAAATCCCCTTTTGGTCCAACTATGCAGGTAATTACATTTGACCTTCTTAATTAAGTGTGAAGATTTTGCAAATAATTTGAATTTCTGTTGTATGTGGGTTTTTTTAGTTTGGTGCATCCAGAAGCAAGTTTGGTTCTTCATTCAAACCCAGGGAAGGCATACTTTCCAAGCTCACAAAGCAGACCAAGGAGTCTGACCCTCCTGTTGAGTTAGCTAAGGTAATAGTACATTTAAAATATTTAATCAGTAATCTTTACTGACTTTGCAAATGCTTTCAATTTAGTATGTCTCATTGTTTTGCAGGTGGGTGTGTATGAACCCAACAAGGACGTACAAGCTTCCCTTATAGATTTGCAGGAGAATTCTGCATTAGATCCTGCAGCAGTGCAGGAGGATACGCCACTACAGGAGGATTCTTTGTTCCACCCTCCAGCAGTGCCGTCAGACAAGGTAGTGGTTCACTTTCTTCAAAACAAGGGTACAGAATTTGTAATGGTTTTTGTCCTTGCCATCACAATTCTTTTGCAGGAGGATATACCTGCTCACATTGATCCATTTGTTATTGTGAAGGATGGCCCGGTACTGCCCTTGGTGATGGAAGAGGTACTATAATTCATACCATGCTTTGAGATACGATAACATCTGCATAAGAAATCACGTGTTGACTTATTACAATTTCTACAGGAGCAATTCATGCAAGATGCAGAAGCCATAGTTACGATAAGCGATGAAGAAGAAGTAGAATCTGCCAACATAACCAGCATTGAAAAAATTCGGGTATATTCCTTTCATATATTACTGTCTTAACTATAGCTGTTTGGGAAGAAAACAAATTTTGGTTTCTGAGTAGGTGTATTATAACACTTATTTTTTCCCTAAGAATATGCTAAAAATTTAGAGGACTCTAACAAAGTCCAAAAAAGTCCACTATCAAAGAGGTCACTCTCTCTTAAGGTATATTATCAAGTTCGCCTTTCATATTACACACCTTCAAATTCTGCTAACCTTTCGTACCTGGTATAAAAGTTTTGTGGCCTCTCCCATTTATACTGTCCTATTTTTCAGACCAGAAGCAGATCAAATCGTGGAGGAAGTGTAAGTTATTGTTGAAGATCGTAATATGTTGCACTTTGTTTAATGTATGTACCTTCCTAAATTAAGGGATATTTGTTTCAGCTAACTTATGTAATATTTTCTTTCAGTCTCTACAAACTATTGGCTCCACCAACACATTAATAACAACTCCAAAGCGGGAGATGAAGTCTGCAACTTCTCTCAAAAACGTGAAGGTACATATGAGTACTTTCTTTCAAGTTTCCCCAGATTACTTCTACTGTGGCGGCCCTTTTCCTAATTCAATTAAATATATCTGTTTCTAGGATGCACTGTCAAAGTTCACCTGTGATGAGCCCAAAAGTTCCAGCAGCCTGCTAGACTCAAAACTAGTGAGTGTAGATGAAATATATTTCACATAATGAGGGGCCCTCAAAATGGTTATGGAATTTTCTGTGTCAAATATTTCATTACTATGTTATTGCTTGCACGTGTTTCCGTCTTTCAGGAAAGGGAGAGGAAGTCACGCAAACGTCAGATGATAGAGTCAGGATCTGAAGAAGAAAATGCTGTTGCAGCTGAGGAAAGTTTTGACGATGTGAGTGTTTGTCTATCCGAACACTTCTGTTTGAAAGGTTTAGGATGCAGCTCTACAATTCATTTTACTTGTTACAGTTCGGCCCCATTGTTGAAGCAGAGAAAATCTTGGCAAAAGAAATGAAATTAAAGAAGATGAAGAAAGAAGAGCTCTTCAAACACTATGTAAGAGTAAAGACTGAGCGAGATGCTCTTCAGAAGAAAGTAAAGGATTTGGAAAGATTGAACAAGAAGAAAGATAAAAGCCAAGATTCAAATTATGATGAGGAAGAGGAAGAGGAAGAAGATAATGACTAAGCTTGTAATCTTATAGAATTTTTTATTTTACTCTTTATTTTTCTTTT